ATGTGGATTGGAAACGTGGACATTTCGCAAACAAATTGGAGAAAAAGCTGAAACGTGTGCCAAGCAGCGTGGAGAGATGCACGGTTGGCGTTACACACCGAGGGACAGCAAGAGACGCACGTGGGTTAATAAACACGCGTCAGTTACAGACATCGTTCCAACTATAAGAATAGGTTTTATCCTTTCTGGCAATAAAACAGGTGTTAAGATGTTAAAACACCAAACTGAAACATTTTCAAGGAATCATGTCTGCATTCACCACATATACTTGTGGTGAACATGCAAACAAAAACATGATCTTCGAATCTAGTATGATCTGACGATATCATGGGAGGTCCCATGATATCGTCAGAGGAGGTCCCATGATATCGTTACAACTGTTGAGACAAGTCAGCCTGGTCCCCTTTGTTCAGCTCGTTCTTGATCTGAGCCTCTTACCCAGTGACGTACTTCCTGCCCGGCCACTCTTCTCTCGTACACAAAATGCTCGATGCACAATCACATAACGCAATGTGCGTCAGGAGTGGAACATTGAAACTCACACCCACCCCCTGGCTCCCTGTTCTGGCCAACATTCTGCCACCAAATATCCACAGAGACTTGCAAACTGACCCGTTTTCTTGCCAACGACAACCGCACACACTCACCATCAACCAAGTCCCGATCCCCCTTCTGGGTTCATGCTGTCACCATCTTAGAATCTCACGCAGATCCTGAACAACGCTGGCGAACAGAGTGGAACAACAGGGACGTCCAGGATTAACGCCTCTTTCGAGACCCAAGCGTCGCATCTCCTGGCTTTGACATCCTCGAAGACACTGCTGGTGTAACCATCAACCGCAACAGAACATCAACAGGCCGATGCGCACATCTCCATCATGAATGGAAAATTTAAGTCACAAGCCAGAGTCGTGCGATTGTGGCCATTCAACTCAGACTATGGACGAGTGCCTTAAACCACCATGGTCTGCGCTCCTTCAACGGAGGAGGAATCACAAAGCCACAGGAACTCTTTCTGCCGAAGCACTCTCGTCCTGGCCAGCAGACCTCGATACAGGCATCTGGCTCCTGATCAAACATAGAGCCATCGCATGCACGATTACAATAAAATCTAATTGTGAACGAGTCAACAAATTAAGATGTAGTGTAATATATATTTAGTAATGAGGCACAGTTCTTAAACATTTGTTGCTTAACAATGCTGGCAGTGACTCCTTTGCCCTTTGACCCTCTGCTTGGGAGAGGAAGCCGGCAAATGTGAAGCAGATGCAAGTTGCTCCCCACGCGTGTGAGGAGCAACAAGGCAGTCGGACGGATAATTACCCACTTATAGTAATTATTTTTGCAACGTGACGTAAGAATGTCGAGGCACGTCTTAAGTTACCGTGGGGGTTTGTTAGTGAGGGGAGTAAACGCCTGAGGAGGCTTGGCACGTAATAGTTTAGCATAATGCGTTCGCGAATGCCTTAAATATAATAACCCCGTGTGTCCCGTTATCGACGCAGGGAAAGCGACAAGTCCTCGTCCATAGATCGCAGCCATGGAGATGATGGTTTTGTTATGAGGTTACAATAAATATCCGATTCTGTCCATCTTTACACCTACCTGTTTATCTACCCATTCATCTGTGCGTACTTTAACGCAGCACATGAGTACGGTGGTGTTCTGTTGGGAGAGAAGGGCTATGGGGATGGAGGGCAGGGGAGTCGATCCTTGTGTGTTGGCGCTCTGCTTTGTGTGCGAACATCGGGAGGAGCAGCGTGGCGTGAGGTGATCGCCAGCGTCCACTCAGGGGTGTATTTGGCTCGCGACTTTTTCCATGGGCGTGCTTGATTTGTGTGTCTCAATGAACACAAGGGGAGCGCAGGACGCAGGAACAGCATCCACGCTGTGGATCGTTATGCATTGGGTGGCCGTGGAGGGGTTGTTAGCTGGGCCTGTACGTGAACCTTACAACAATAACACGAATTTTAAGTTGGTGCTGCATTGGCAGTAGTGCACAAGCATTAAAAGGATCTTGATTTGAAGCTTTCGTGACTGCAGGAATCCATACTCTTTGGTTCTTTCGGTAAAGTCACGTGGGTATAAAATAATATAATCCAGCAGTAGAACTGCTGGATTATATTTTTTCCGCCTGAGGACGACTGCTTGTGTTGCGATCGAAACGTCGTGATTTATTTTATTTTATACCTACGTGACTTTACCGAAAGAACCAAAGAGCATTAAAAGGATATCTACGGGCAAAATTGTGGGCAATGATATTGCTTAATAGCATACAAATAAAGCTGATGGTAGTAGTAAGAATGTTGAGATAGTGGAGGCCTCTGTGTTGTCAACAGAACCGTACCTCGACCTGTTGGCTATTAGGGGCAAGGTGCCATCCTCGCATCCGACTGAAGGAATCCGATGAGCTATGAAGCGCTTTTTCACAGATGCCCAGTCGCACCTGCTCCCCCAATAGTTAACCACGTGACACGGAGACCCGACACTGGACCCACGAGCAAGTTGGTCCAGCCACTGTGGGGGGAAGTAAATAGATCGATGTGAGCGAGCAGTGAAGTCCACCATGTCCCGCTGAGCTATAGGAGCAAGCGGTGTTGTTTAAGGCCGAGCCGCACTGCGATGAGAGTCGTGGGGGGAGGGGGGGTTAGCTCAGTTCATCATCTCTCGGGGACGCGAGAGGACCACTTCGTGTTAAGTCAACAGCAGTCCTCCTGTGAAATAAGCTGGCCTCCGACCATGAGATTGTGGAATTTCCACGGCTGGTTCACGTTCACCAACGTAGACACGCGTCAGTTTAACACGTAGGCTTTCGCGACCAATATTATTCATAATAAAAGTTTTCGAGTTCCGTGGCCGGTCAAAATGCACAATTTGAGACCGACGTTTCGCTGGTAATTACATGTTGTGGATTTACTCTCCAACACACCGATGGGCTGAAGTAGTAACTACTTGGGGCGTTATGTTTACATGACAAACCTTACTGGCTGTGTTTGTTGGGTGGTGGAGGGCTACGACACATTTATACTGACGCGATCTAACCCAAAAACCTTTATTACGAGTAGACACGCGTGCTACCCCACGCTTGGTTGAGCAGAGAGAAACTTTCACTTTGCGAATACGAAAATGATTGCCTAATATGCATTGGTAGAATAAGTTCTTTATTAGTCACGCTTAAATATATCATCATCAGCCATAGTCAATCCACTGCTGGATGAAGGTTTTCCTGCGTCTTCCGATGGTCTGGTGGTGACACCAACCATCTCATGGATTGCTTTCATTGAACGACCTCAGCAGTGGGTCTCCCTCTTGAGCACATTCTTCTCTTCTCGTCTCATCAGTCTCACCCAAGGCCGTCTAAAGGTTTCAGCAGTCAATACAACAGGGTGGTGCAGTGGTAACACGTTTGCCTGCCAGCAAGAAGGACCTGGGTGTGATATCCTGTGTGGAGTGTGGTTGCTCTCCCCTTGTTCTACGTGGGCTTCCTACAGGTGCTTCAGATTCCTCCCGTGGCTACAACCACAGTGTCAATGCTGTTGGGCAAACGTCCCAATGCGGAGCCATCCTAAAAGCTAGTCTTCGGACTCGGTGTGGCTGTTCTGGGTAAATAAAATAGTATTTCATATTCTTTGGTTCTTTCGGTAAAGTCACGTAGATAGAAAAATAATACTAAAAAAAGTGAATAAAAAATATAATAAAAATAAAATAACCTCAGTAAGTATGCTGGCAGTCTATAATGTAGACTGTAGCCTGGTTTATAAGCTTGGGGAGGGTATTGGCAGTCTATAATGTAGACTGTAGCAATGGTTATTAAACTGTGAGCGTACTGGCAGTCTTTCATGCAGACTGTAGCCTGGTTCTTAACCTCAGTACGCTCACTCAGTTTAATAGCCATTGCTACAGTCTACATTATAGACTGCCACTAAACTCACTCAGATTAAGAACCAGGCTACAGTCTACATGAGTGGTTTTATGTTTTATTTTATTTTATTTTGATATTTTTTTATTTTTTATTCACTTTATTTTTAGTATTATATTTCTATCTACGTAAATTTACCGAAATAACTAAATAATATGAATTCCTGCAGTCACGAAAGTTTTAAGTCAAAATAGTATTTGTTTATTGCTCGATCCACATGCTTACTGCCTTGCGAATTCGAGCGATGAGATGCTCTCACATTCCCTATTGCCGTACAAAAACCGGAGGAAGGGCCTTTGCTATTGATGCCCCCAGGGTCTGGAATGCTATTGCCAATAAACTGCAACTTGAATCACTACCTATGAGATCTTCACTCAAAACTGCTCGAGAGGAGTTGTACACCCCTAGCTGCCACTGCTATTCAGTGGCCTAAAATAAAATAAAATGTCTCGCTCCGGATGACCGCTGCAAAGTATTATCTGTATTTTGATTTCGTGTGCTGATCTTAAAGGTGCATTGGAAAATGTGATACTCCGACTGATGCTCCTGTTGTTGTGGAGCGACTCATGCAGCCAGCTATGGCTCTAGGATTTGGTGTTACATGTTATTTATGTATTTTTTGTTAAAAATTCGGTCACAGTTCCTATGATCACTGTTACATTGCATTTATGGCTTTATTTTGGTGATTTCGAAGAGTTTTTTGGTTTGGCCATGTTTTTGTTTGTTGAAGTACAGAGTTAGACTGATGGTCTTAATCTTAGTTGTCTTGTGGTTGTTGTTTTTGTTTAACTTGCATCCCACTGGGATTTTTGCACACAGCGTTGGTGTACGGTGCTATTTCAGGAATATGTTTATCTTTTTTTCCTGGATTTTCTGTTTGCACAGTCACATAATCACTTTAAGATGTTTTCTTGTTCATGTTTTTGTTTTTTGTTTGTTGCGGTTGCACCCGATTCAAGAGCCAGATGGCTCACAGGGCTATACCAAATAAATGGAACTATGAAATGGAACTCTGGCCCTTGACTTCTCGTGATCGTCGTCATAGTGATTGTTGCTGTTGTGATCGTGTGGCCGTGGCCAGGGTGCACCCCGTTCCCCATGCCTCCAGACCGTACGTGCTTGGGGCCACGGGGGCCTGGGCACCCCTCCGTGTCCGTCTCCCCCGAGCGGCCCTCTCAGGCGGGCAGGGACGCCCTGCGGCTGAGTTGGAGTCCCAGTCCGCACAGGCACAACCGCCTCAAGGGCTTCCAGGTGACGCTGCTTGGCCTCACAGGAGACATGGGGCGCTGGACCTGCTGGGAAGTGCTGCTCAGGAAGGTGCCTCCGGACGTACGTACTTCTCTCCACGCGCGATCACTCGCACGCGCGCGGTGCCACCGGTGTTTGTGCCACTTTGTGAGAAGTCGGAGGCCGTTGTCCTGTCGACAAAATGGAACTCTGCAACAGAAATGCGGATTTTTCACCGCTGGTGCCTGGGCCGCCAGGGGAAGGTGGACAGCGCCTCGTCCTCATTTGAGCACGGGGAACATTTCGATGCTTTGATGATCTTGATTATTTCATAATGAACACAGCTGCATTACTCCTCGCCGGGTCTCTATCACTCCTCACCGAGTCTTCAAGAAGGTCCTGCTTGTTGGGGCTTATGGGCCGCCGATTTCTTTTTAACTCGGAATGTGCTGGGCTACAAGGTGTCCGCTGATCATGCAAGCGGTTAGCTGACTTATCACGTCATCTTACAATGGGGAAATGATACGAGCTTACTGGCACAGGCCTGAGGCAATGAATTAGACGGGCAGCCCTGTGATGTAATGGCCCCTGGTATTGCGTTGGTGCACAGACCCAGTTCCTGCTCACCTCACACGACCTGCGGCTGGGGGTGAACTACAGCATCACCATCCAGACGCTCCCCCCTGCTGGCGTCGACTGCCCACAGAACAGCCACACGATGCTTCACTACCACACCCGCAGTGAGTGAGCAGCACCCCAACACCACGCTCCACCACCACACTCACAGTGAGTGAGCAGCACCCCAACACCACGCTCCACCACCACACCCGCAGTGAGTGAGCAGCAAACCTAGACCTGGGAGTGCTGAGCAGTTGGAGATCAGAAGATCTTAAGGACCTTGATGGAATATTTAAAGGTATTGATTCCTGCAAGTAATGTGGGGTGAGCCTTTTTAAAGCCTTGTAGGTTAACAGCATCATCTTAAAATCCACTCGGAAATTTGTCTGGTAGCCAATGAGGAGATAAGAGGGCTGGTGAAATGTGCTCTCTGAATGCTGTACGTGGTGTAAGCACTCTAGCAGCTGCATTCTGAACAAGCTGGAGTCTGCCCACTACTTTGCTCGGTATCCCAACCAGTGAGGCGTTGCAGTAGTCGAGTCGGGACGACACAAAAGCATGGACCAGTCTCTCCAAGTCAGCAGGTGACAGGAAGCAATGCATTCTGGCGATATTTCTTAGGTGGAAAAATGACATTTTAAGCACCTTAGATATATGTGCCTCAAAGGATAATGACTGGTCAAACTGAACACCAAGGTTTCTGACCTCCCGTGTGGACATCGTGACCATTAATCAACAAACGGGGCAAACCAATTTTTGAAAGATGCAGAGGGGAGCCGATAAATATGGCTTCGGTCTTGTCGCCATTTAGTAGCCATGAGTTCACTCCTCTTAGTGATGCAGATAGTGCAGAAGACGCTGTTGCTTACTCTGGTCCTCACCGGATATAAATTTGAGTATCATCTGAATAGCAATGGTAAGATAAGCCAAGATGTTGGAACAGAATACCCAATGGTGCCATGTAGATGCTAAAAAGTGATGGGCCAAGCACAGATCTCTGCGGAACACCACAGAGAAGCGGTCTAATTGGTGACCTAAAGCCATCCTTTGTGACGTAGTACCTACGATTGTTTAAGTAACTTTCAACTTTCAGTCGCTCAAGGAGATCCCCGTGATCAATAACGCTGACAAAGCCTTTATCTGCTGATAAAAGCAAATAATTGACAACCCTTACCAGAGCAGTTTCGGTGCTATGCGCACGTCTGAACCCTGATTGAAAGTGGTCAACTACATCGTTTGAGGCCAGGTGCTGATGTAAACGAGTGACCAAAGTTCGTTCCAGAATTTTAGAAAAAATACGGAAAATTGGATTTTGGATCCAACATTTTCTGGAAGTTCGGGATCAAGACCCCAGCCATCTTAAAAATGTCAGATACTGTGCTGATTTTGAAGGACATGTTAATAAGACTGACGCATAAACGGCCTCAGTACAACAGAATTGGCCCGTAGCAGCCTTGAAGGGAAGGGATCCAGTGGATAGCTGGTAGGTCGAGAAACAGCAAATAAAGAGATGAATTCCAGAGTTTAAATTGCAGGAAACTCGGGAAACAATGCGCCCTCGATCTGAGTTGGAGGCAAGTAGGAAAGAGAGGGAACAGAGGGAAGAGACATTAATATGGACTGGTTGTGGAATTTTTATTGTGAAAAAACTGTTGAATTTTAGTACAGAAATCAGCAGAGGAGTGGGAAATTACATTTAGCTCCTTATTCAAAAGTTGGCTGATACAGGAAAACAAGGCCCGAGGATTTTTTAAATCACTATTTTCAATGCGACCAGTAATGTATGAGGATTTAGCCAAGGCAATGTTGTTAGGAAAAGTACGAAGTTCTTTAAATATTTGATGATAAATAGTGAGGCTGAACGAGTACACCCCTGGGAGGAACTCAGAGTACTCTGAAAGGAATGTGAAAATTAACCTTGGTGGGTGATAGAGCAATAATAACAATGCCAGTTGGGTACAAGTTGGCCTCTGATCTAACGCGAGGTGCTCAAATGACTGAAAAGTTGGCAGTTGGACAGGTTTTACAAATGCAGAATTTGCATGGAATGAAGCCAGGCCACCCCCCACCCCTACCTGATGAACGTGGATTCTCACAATCAGAGAAACCAGATGGAGTGGCCTCGTTCAGTGAAAAATAGTCAAGGTCTCAGTCAGACATAGGAAGTCAAGACAGTGGCCTGTGATAAGTTTGTTCACCGCAAACGCCTTTTTTGTGATGGAACGGGCATTAAGTAATGCTAAATGAGTACAACCAGTTATGGGGCCCTTTAACGGTGATCCTTGGGCAAGCCCCAATGGGCAATGAACGGAAGAGGCACCAATGGAAATGGTGGGGCTATGACAAAACAGATCTGATGTTATGACCTGATTTTCGAGTGAACTGATTATTTTGCTACGACCATCTCCATGATGAACATATGGTGATCGCCTGAGAATACCCAGGGAATAACAGAGTCGGGAAAACTGTGCATCACGTGATCGAAAAACAGAGCGCAAACTCTATAATACATTTATAGGGCACACAGCCATCGTAATGTCAGACTGCTATCATCATATACATCAATTTACTAGTGATGTTTGTAAATCAACGAGATATAAATGAGCAGAGGCAATGTGAAATCCAAAAGATGGAGGGCCACAGCCATGCAAAACAATGCCGGGGAGGGTCACACACAGCATGAAGTGGACAACCGACGCAGATAGGCAATGTTGTCTTCCTACAAAGCGGTACTCATTTTACTAACGCTGGATCAATGCCACTGCCCGGTCAGCCACCCGACCAGGAATCGAACTTCACAACAACGCAAGTTGTGAGTCGACACCTCTGCCAGCAGCACCCTTCGCTGTTTGTTGTCATAATTGCAATGCCACATAAACTATTGTGGAATTGTATTTCGTCAGGACGTGGTGGAGGACCTGTAGTCCAGGGCATTGGAGGCAGGGTTGGTGGTTCACGCAAAGGGAATCACCTATCTGCAGGGCTAATCGATGGGCAGTGGATGGCAAACAACAAGCAGTTGAAGGACTTTTACTGCACGAATGTTTGGATGTTTTTTGCCTTTTGTCCGGAGAGTCCTCCGACATGCAAATAATATCCTCATTAATCAAGCATTTTCCAAACATCCCAAACAGAACCCTACTGAGCCAGTCTTGAGACTCGGTGAAGCGTTCCTAAACTAACACAATGGCATTATTACAAAAATAATCCCTCTCTCTCTCTCCATGAACCGTGTGTCCTTTCTCAAAGACGCCGGTGATCGTGGTCTTCTTTCCATTCAGCTCTGTTCCACACCTCCGATTAGCACGGTTGGCTAGATACAGTGAAAAAGAAGTTAAACATGTGTACATATGTATTCAACAAATTGGCATCGGATACTCCTCCCAGTTGCATCCAATTATTCAAATTGCTTATGTAACTTAATTTGCTGTCTGCCCGAACTTCTTGTATCTGTCACTTTCCCAGTCAAAACACATTTATATTCAGCCTCTCATTTTCTCATTACACATCCAATAAATCATAAATAAAGTAATGCTACATTGCAGCTGCAATGTGTGTTCCAAGAATATAAACAGCGTGTTATTATATACGTTTTGTTTGCAGTCAAAGTAACCCATTTACAGTTGTAGTTCGTTATTTAATCATTGTTTTTCATTTTCTCGTTTTGTGCTTAACCGCGTGTAGGGTTAATATGCACGCGCAGTGACACCACATACCTGTCGTACTGCTCCTTGGTTCGTGACTGGAGGAAGCAGCTGCAGCTTTGACATTTAGCGTTTGACATTCAACACCTGGGTGCAAAGCCACGACGAGATCCTATTTCACATCCTCATGTTATATTCCAAAAAACTGAACTTGATAAGAAGAAAAACATCAACATAGCCGTGTCCACCCGATGAAGACAGGTTTTCAGCCAATGGACACTGCCAGCCAGGACCAGGGGTGGAAAATACCAAATTTTTTCAGATCCGAATTTGAGGTTTAAGGTTCAAATCTTAATAAACCTTATTAAACCTAATAAACCTCATGGTACTAGTCCTCCTCCGACGAGTCCATGTCGTCGCCCTCGGACAGAGAACTGCATTCGGAGAACGCCGCATAGTTGCTCTTGAGGTAGACCAACTTCTCCACCGAACTGGGCGCCAAGCTGTTCCTGAGCTTGCTGTGTATGAAGCCCATAGTTGAGAAGTTGTGCTCCGAGGCTGCAGAGGATGACGCCATCGTGAACAGCTTGACGCCGATCTTCTGATAATCGGGCCAGGCCATGCCGTCAGACTGCCAATACTGCAACGGTGTCTTACGTCCCTTGAGCAACATAATGAATCTAAACCTGCCGGCATCCTTCTCCTGCTGCGCCGAAATGACGTACTCGGTGAACTGCATAAAGAGCGTCTCTCGCCTCTCATCATCAACTGCCATCTCATAGTTGATCGGTATCTCCAGTAAGATGTTATCCAGCTCTTTTCGATGAGCCGGGCTCAAGCCCTCTCCAATGAAGTGAGGATCTAACAGATACGCCAGTCCATGGGCTTTTCCGTACATCAACTGAAAGCGGCTTTCTGCCAACTTGATCAGGTAGTTGATCTCTTTAGTGCTCGCATGACCGTCTTCGTGCAGTTTGGCAAACTCAGCAGGGAGGGCGTGAAAATCCGGCAAGACTTCAGTGACTGGTACGGAATCGGATTGATATTTGACAATCAACGCATCGATGGGCGGGAGAATGGCAAGGGACTTCTGCAACAGAGAGACGAAGTTGTCGCTCGTAATGACGGTCTTGATTGGCATGCGCTCGGATTTCTGAGCTGCCGTCCCCTTGATGAAGTCACGAGCTGTGACAATGGAATGCAGAATCCCCTCCGACAACAACAGCGTCTCGCAACAGCCTTTGATCGTTCCCCAACGTGTAGGAGCCGCCTGGATCAACGCTCGAACACCAGCGATCTTCTGTTCAGCCTGCAGCTGTGCCTTGAGAACGTGATTGTTATGAAACAATTTGACCGTGTCCTTGCAACCCACGATGAACTCAAGCAGGTACTCGAACAGATAGTCGATCAGGTATGTGTGTTCTGATTGGCCGGCTTTCCTCCTCTTCGTGGCAGAGAATATGTCCTTGACAAGCAAATGCAGACATTGCGACGTACAGCCTTGGAAATAGGAGGATGGGTGAGCCTTCGAGAGCTGTTCCCACGCATTCTTGTTGGTGGATGTGTTGTCAGTGACCGCACCAGCGAATGTAGTCTTCGGATGGGACGCCATCACACGTTGAAGATCCGAGGCGATCCAGTCAGCGTTGTGGCCCTGCTTTCCAGTGGACACCGACTCGAGAAACAACGTTGTGGACGGCCATGTAGTTCACAATGGGATCATTCTTGATGTTTGACCACGCATCAGATGTCAGGCAAACGGTCTTATTGTCCAGGATGGTGTCAACCTTCTTCTTCATGTCGATGTATGCCCTGTCGAGCAATGGTTCGGCCAGCCTCTTCCTGTTCAGCAGCACTGCATCTGGGCGAAGGGCCTTCACAGCCATCACCAGGTTCTCCTCCTTGACCCGCTGGAATGACGTGCCCGAGACAAAGTAATGCATTGCTGTGGCCTGCTCCAACTTCTCCTTCATTCGCTTATCGAGCTTGGGTATTAGGTGATCTTTGATCGGTCCTTGCTTCATCGACAAAGCATTCGATGTAGATGGAGTTGAGCTGCCGCTTGCCTTCAGTGGCTTCACCCGCTTCTTGTTCGACGCATACCACTCGAGACGATCATCTATACCGGTGCCACTCATTGCCCTCCGAAAAGCGACGCATGCATTCAGGTGCCTCATCGCCTGTTCACTCTTATTGTGATGGTTGAATCCGGTGCAACAATGTTTACAGACGGCACTCTTCAACTTGTACGGTTCCGGATCATCGGTGAAGTAGCGCCAAAACTGGCCCATCGAGCGTCCTCTGGCCTTCCCTGCATTCACCGACGCCTCGTTGGCCACTCCATCCTTTCCGCGTCGGCCACTCCATTCTTCTCCATCACAATTACGACATCACTATCACATTCTTCGGAATCGAGTAAATCCTCATCCAGGTTCTGATCCATGATCTTGCTTGTGGTGGAAATTGGGTTCGTTTCATGACACTAGTAACTCAGGTAATGCCACGATTTCTGATTTCCGGGCTCCGGTCTTCCGCACTCTGTTACTTCTGTCAGACTTCCTGCAAAAAACTAAAATGGCGTCTTTTTATAATGACCCTCAAAACCTCACCATATCTGGCTCTTCAGGATATTGAGGTTTTGTATTTAAACCTTATCAAACCTAATTGTTTTAAACCTTGCCTTGCCACCCATGGTCAGGACTTACTCATCATAAACACGGACAAGAGAACGAGCGCCGCTCACAGAGCGCCAATGAGATCAAGTCGTGCCCAGGAGTGATGCGGATCGTGACATCGAACTCGTCCGGAGAGATGTGGAAAGGCCATTATCCAGCAGTGGATAGACCACAGCTGATGATTATAGTAATTAAACGTGATTAAATAAATTACTTATTTCACCCATGATATTTTTGAAACGAATTTTCCACTCCCACCGTGTTAAAGTCGCAGTGTATCCCCTGCTCAGGCGCGCATGGGGTGGTGGTCCTATTCTTTGATGGCCCTGAACTAGTGGTGGAAATTCCACATTCCCATAATAGGTGCGAGTTTGCCCAATAGGGCGATCGCTTTATGACAGAGCGAAGGATTACTTTGTCGACCTTCGAAGGATACCGGAGTGAGCTGGACTCCCTTGTTGGGAATTGAGCTTTGTCGACTTCTGGTTGTGAGTGCAGTACCCTCAGTACAGTATCACCCAGCCGGATTTATACAAATTAGTAGGGTGCTGTGCTGTGATGTTACATCACGATGTGCCATTCAATGATGGGGCAATATTCAAATTAGATGTGTCCATGTGCAGAATAGAGTGTACTTTGCTTTGTCATCTGCTATAAATAACGTAGCCAATATCAGATTAATGTTTGCAAAGTGACTCCTACATTGAAGTATTAAACTATCGGTCTGCATTGTGCCACTGGTATGGTAACGCAGTCACGTAACAGAAGTTCACCCTGGAGTTTTTTTCCCTGTACAATGGATTTTTAACTAATAAAATCGCATCATTTATTTTGCCAGGGGATAGGTCATCTTGGTCTCTTTCACAAGTTAAACATGGGGGTACTATCGCCAAGCTTTTCTAATTACCCTTAGGCTTAATTATTTATAATTATGAAAGTTTTTTGTATCATCATTCTTGTTCAAAATCAAAGTATGCCCTCATACTAACATTCATGTCCGTGGACAATCTTTGTTGCCTTCCCACAAACTGATTCATTTTACGGACCCACGAAGAATGATGATGGTAATAGGCTCAGTGTACTATTGACAAGAGTTTGAAATCACAACACTGTGCCACATTGCCAACAAACTTGACGATTCTTATAATAACATCAGTTGAAGTTCAAATTATTTGTTACACGGATAATCCTACCGAGCCAGTTGCCCGGCTGTTCTGCACGAGAGATCGGTGGTGCTACATGAGCACAGCAGCAACAGCAACAAAAATATCGACATTGTAGAGAAGGGCTACAGGCTCCTTAATGAATATTGCACCGTACGTAGCCAACCGTGGTCATCGGAGGTGCGGCCTTCTAACATTTAGCATCTCAACTGAGGCACTGCCACGGTATGTTCGCTCTTAAAAAGCGCATCACGGAGTCCCAAGCGTCCACTTTGAAGCAACGTCTCCTTTACGTGACTTGTGTGCGAGGACAGCCCAGTGGGAGTGCAAGTGCCGAGCCAGTGGGGAGCTCGCAGAACCGCTGGGACGGCAGCGGCGGCGGAGTTTAAAATGAATCATCGCATTATTTGCTTTTACGGCGTGCCGCTGCATGTTCAGTCAAGCCCCGAGCTAACACAACTCACGGTTGACCTTTTGAAGTTCCTCATACCGATTTGCGTGTGCGCGCCTCGCTCGAGACTTTCCTTCCTTCCTAGGGTCACATTTGCATGCGTCCTCCACGCCACCCCCTCGCCCCGCGGTGGCGATGCACACTGATTCCGCACGGTCCAGCCAGCCAGCGACGGGTAGCTCACATGCACATCGTGTTGTATAACCACCCACGCATTCCGTGATACAGAATAGCCGCAATAAAACTGCAGGATAAGACAACGCGTGATGCGTCGATGATGTGTTGCTTACTCCACAAAGCCTCGCTGGGTCCAGAGACACTTTTGGAGAAGGGTCCCATTTAGCATGTTTTGATCATTCGTTACCGAGTGCTCTGTGCGTGACATGAAGACACGTAGAGACATAGACGTTTGCATTTAGCCGGAAGAACCCAATGAGCTATGGACCTCTCTGTCACGGGTGCCACTCATGTCCAGCCCTAAAGCTGGGGTCAGTAATTGCAGACATTTGCAGAGGAAGTTGCATAGGTAGACAAACTAAACACTCGTACATAGACGCAGTCGTACTTAAACTAAATATCACTTGAATTCAATACTACGCACCCCTCAATTACATATAAACTCAAACAAAGCAACGGAGTAATGCAGCAAAAAAACCAGCAATGGTAAAAATTCTACAAAGAAAGGATAAATGAGACTCGAAAATGCACAGTTTTCAAATAACAGTTGCAAATCAGAGCTGCGAATGTGGCCGCAGTTAACGTCGAGTGTGAGTGCAAGAGGGCTTCCTGACCATGATTCCAACACGAGCTTCGGTACCAACCCGAGTGCTTTGAGAAGAGTCACAAATCAGCGGAGGAGACTCTCTCAACTCTGATGCGCAATGATGTCAGCAGCCAACTGCTATCCGCTCCATGCCCGCCGTTGGTGTAATCACGTGGTGCTCTTGTCACTCTTTTCCCCAAAAGGCTGCGAGGAGATTTTGAGTCTTGAAGGCCCGAGCCTTGAGGACTTCTGCATACCGGGTGAGGCCATCTCTGCCCGTTCGTAACTTGCACACACACGCACGCACGCACCAACCTGAGGTAGCAATAACACCACTGGCAAACAGGGCCTCCAGCCAATCTATCTCAAAGGTCAGCTCGATTAAAGCAAGACACAACACAATCGGCAATCATTTGTTGTTATACGGGGTGATCTATTCATAGATACCCCACGAACAAATAATCACAAGTTATGGAGAAAACCACATCTTATTTCAAATCCACTACACCTCTCGCACCCATCTCACTACATTCATGAAGTCGTTTAAAGCTCTCCTCCGTAAGAAATGGAGCCATCGATTCGGCAGTATTCAATCACCCGTTGAGGATGTAACAGGGACATTATAAATCAGAGGTGTATCTATAAATAGATCTGACTGGGCCGTCTGACGCGTGGTCGATGATCCGTTCGTCAGGAGAACGTCGCGAAGCTTCACAGCTTTGCGACGTCGATGTGCCGTGGCGGCGGCGGCGGTGCCCGATCTCTGACGACGGCGTGCGCCGTGCCAACTCCGTTCCAGATTGGAAACCGGCGCAGGTGAACGCTTCGGTGGACGGTTCGACTGTGACGGTGAAGTTCTGGGTCGCCACGCCCGTACACCGGGTGCGCGGGTACAACCTGTACCTGGGCAAGCCGCACGATAGCGACGTGCCCAACTTCTACGCCTGGTTCCCCAGGATCTTCACCATGGCCACCGTCCAGGGGGTGAGACCACCGGCGGCTCGGCTCGCGCGGCCGTGTTCGTCCTCTCCCGCGCCAACGGCCCGGTTCCGCCGGCGGCAACGTCCGGGCATGAGCGACCAAAGCCGTTCCCTACAGTGAATCGGGGCGAGCGTCCCGGACCCCGTGCATTGGGGATCCCCATGCTTCGATGTCGCGGTGTCAGATGTGATGCTGCCGGATTGGTTTTAGGGCATCGGGGGGGGGGGGGGGGGGAAGGGGGGGGGCATGGTTTGTGGTTTGCCCCGGCCCCCGCACCGCCCTGCACTTGATTGCCATAACCGCCACCTCCAATTAGCACGGTTAGCTACATAAGGTGCGAAAGAAGTTCAACATACCAGTACTCTCCGTACAGACAGAGGTCACTCAACTGTGTTCTTCGATTGGTGTTCACTCAACGTTGGCTTGCCACAAGTCTTTCCGTTCTAACTTTCCAATCAGCAATGCTTATAAGGCACATGCTGTAAGCTACAGTAATAATTCACAATAGCTCCAATAGTTATGACATTGTGGATTTACTCTCCAACACACCGGTGTGCTCAGCTAGTAACGAATTGGCATGTTCTGTTTACGTGGCAAACCTTACTAATTGGGTGTGTTGGGTGGTGGCGGGTTTAACGACACATTTATATATTTACGCGATCTAACCCAAAAGGCCTCTATCATGGATGATATTGGTTGTGAAAGCCTCCAACGTGTTAAACAGAGTTAGGACATCGTAACCACTGTTACTCTCAACTGCTCCCAGAGCATCGTTCGCAAAGCACTCATTGAATGGATAATAGCAATGTTGTGTTTACAACTTCAGTGATAGTGTTTGTTATGTCAGAAAAAACTTTTTGGAAATAGTATAGAATAAAATAAAAATTCATAATCACGATATGATATTGAGAAATATGGATTTTACGATTATCGTGGATATATCGTACAAATATATCATAGTATCACCATATCACGTCAACTTTGGGAACATGGCTTGCGAAATTGGGAAATCGAGGTGGCCAGGTGGCACAGAGGGCTTGGCATGACCACGTTAGAGCAGAGACAGCGGCTGGGTCCAAATCAGCACGAACTCACACCACGATCTCAAATTTGGTGCATTGATGGCCTCAGCCTGGTCACCGATGACTGGTCAGTACAAAAATAACCACTGTGTAAAAAACATAATTGTACTTAAATTGGCAATGTTCCAGCTCTGAGAACTAACATAGTTAAGCATGTCACACTCATCATTGTGATCACTGTGAATATCATTATTATGATTTCCATTGTGACCATCACCTTTCTGGCCATCATCATTTGCATAGCCATCATCGGCATCATCATCATCAGTGAGGCAACGTTGCACCACGTAGTAAGAGGTCAGCGGTCATCATTTTACAGATAGGATTGTCCCCACCAAAAGAACGTGGAACTTCCACCACTTTGCTCCTCCAGAGCTCGTGGTTTATGGATTTCTGAGCAGTAAAAACACATTGCGATGCTTATGTTTCCACAACAGGAACAGGTGAATGAGAAGTTTGCCTCCCACACATTCAGAGATCTGAAGCCCGGCGATTATACTGTGCAGGTAACCACCAGTACAACAGACAGAGACAGAGACCCCCTGTATAGCCTTCATGGATTTGTGGGGCAAGTGCTGTGAGCGAGCATTATACACACAGCAGCAATCATCGCCCCCGACTGGCACACTGATGCCCCAGGTCACTCTTAAAAATTAGGCTCTATCCTGGTCTCTTGAGATATCAAAGCTGGGTTAAACAAAATAAACTGTAGCTTACATGGCTGTTGTGATGAGTGCCAACCCATTGTTCAGTTGAATAAGACAGTCACTCAAAGTCTTCCATCCCATTTCGATATGCCCCTGGGTTTTGGATGTTGGTTTTCTTGTTGTTGCCACCCATGATAATACATCTCAAGAATGTATCAGAAATGTTTGGCCAACATCAATTACTAACCATATGGCAGGAGTCAATTAAAATTCCGCCCCGCATGGCAGGGGGTGTTTCATGTCGGGGTTTCCAGTGGTCCATCATCGATATGCCACCACTGCCCTCTGATTACTGATGATTAATGGCGATTCACGCGTTGTGTGAGCCACACCTGCTGCAAATGCATGTGGTGCTACTGCTCTCATCCAAAATATCTGGCTAGAGCGAAATGTTTGAGATTAAAACCTTGCTTATCTCTGTCCTGTTTGAACTCCAGATGCCCTTTCACGTGTACGTGCAGTTGATTGCTCTGCTTTGCAGACGAAGTTTTATAAATGTGTTTTTTTGTATGTGGCATTCTATTGTCCTTGTATTCTCTGTGCTGGTTGGACCGTGATGTTGATGCACGTCCTTGCCATTTTGAACTTGGCCTGTACAGTTGTTTGTGGATTGTTTTGCTCACGTCTTGTTTTTGCTGTAGTAACCAGGTTGCTACGGTGTTACGAAGTCCCCATTGAAAACGAGAATTCATTGCCCAATGAGTTTTACCGCTGCTATAACAAACCCTAACGCTCACACATGTCTAAAACAGTTACACTGCAACGGGTCTTGGTTGATATGGGATGATTGTTCTGTAGCTATTCCCGAGCTGCGAGTGAAAGGCTGGGGTGACGAAATTAAACGCCACCGTTTGTGACACCGCTGTTTAACCGAAACTCTGCAGGTGGCTGCCCAGAAAGTGGATGCTATTCGCAGCAAACCAACCCTCTTCACAATATCCGGTGAGAGACGGACACGGCACACGCGATTATTATGTCACGCACCGTTTCGACCATCTCGACGCTTGCAATCAGCGGGGGCCTCGCAAGGCCTCGCCGCTGAGTTGGTCTGCCACCGAGTCAGAGTCCTGCTGACTTAAGACTTGATGAATACTTCCGTGAAGTTAAAGTCCCTGTGGCGACGTTCACAACAACTTGCCACTGTGTGCTGGTGTCAAAGCCCTTCTGTTGTGAGCGTCCAAATATACGGAAGCTTTAGTCACTACTCCATAAAAACCTGACTTATAGCAATCGTTATAACAATCGCCATCACCACCATCATCAATAAATTCAATATTCTAATGTCCATCGAAAGGACGACTGTTTACCTTCCAAAAAAAGCGGTACTTATTTTATTCACCCTGGAGTGATGACGAGACCAGTCGAATCCAGACCAGGATTTGAACTTGGTATATGATTGTGAACGGTGTGTTGCAATTACAACACTACCAAAATCTACAAAAAAACCTGACTTACAGGACTCGTTGTTACATGAACAATGACCACCACACCATCATCATCATCGTCGTCATCGTCATCATCGTCATCGTATGCTACTACTTGCGGAGAGAGCCAGCAGTGGTTGATTTAGAGAGACAAGTCCCTGCCGATTGAATGTGGAATGTCCATCAATATGAAGAATTTTAAATGAATCATTGTTGCTGTGCTTCACTCATTCTGTTGTCTCTTTTGTGTCTCGTTTTTGCCCTGCCGATGTTTTGTATGTTCGTGGTGTTGTCTGCTTATAATGCATATAGTTGTCTCTACAAAACCAATATTACAGTTATATTTTACAACAAGTATTCATATGAGCCATGCCTTTATACTGCCATACACTGTCATATAGACGCGTGTGTATATATGTATAAAGTGAAGGCCAGAGTTTGTAGACGTAAATACCTTACTTTACAATGTTGGTGTTGGCATAAAAGTTATAAAGTGTACATTCTTGGAACATGTACCTTATAAACAAAAACGAATAAACTATTCCACCCATCACCATCATCAGCCATGATTCATCCACTGCTGGATGAACGTCACCCCAAGTCATCACCATTCATCATGGTCTCACGACGCAACATTTCAACGTGTTCCAGCAAAAGTGCCGATGTCATCGCTCCATCTCCTCTTCATGTTCGGGTCCGTTTCCTCCTTTACCTGCCATTCTGTAACCGGCCGGGAGTTTTTTCAGTTCCTGAATATTCAGTTTACTGAAGAAGCTCCCGGCACGTGGAGTGAAACGTCAGACATCGTGCCAAACAACACGCGGTCCGACCTGAAAACGCATCGGAGAGCCGTGTGGCTCGACCGCTAAAAAAACCTTCACGGTAGCAGCACGAGCGGCATCTGTTTTGGAGCTCTGTGAACGTGACGCGTCTCTTGATCGCTTCCTTTGCAGAGGGGCCGGAGACTCCACCGGCGCCGCGTGCCGCCACCGCGTGCGCCTTACCGAGCGGCAAACGAGAGCGCGAGAAATGTGCGGAGGAGAAGGGGCTCCTGGGCAAAAGCGGTAGCAGCAGCCGGGACGAAGTGTCCCGGCTCAAAAAGGAAATAAAAAAGCTCAACAGTAAGTTTGCCCGATTGAAGAAAAAGGCACAGAGACCACGCAAGAAGAAAAGGAGACAGAGGCCGGCGGGCAGTTACTGATCGTGAGCCACTTTGTTACACGTGCTGCTCTTAGGGTTGCCATCTGTCCTGGGTTTCCCGTGATCGCCCCTCGTTTTGAGGTCGCCGTCTTAGGAAACCCGTACTTGTTCCGAGGACGCAATCCATCCTGGTATTGGTAATCCACCAATCTAAACAATGCATTGTAATTACACGTAGCCTCTTCCCCTCTTTGATATTGTCATATATTAGTGTTATTGTGTCCTGGTTTTGATTGACCTCCCAGGTGGCAACCCTAGCTACTTTACGCTGTGTTTCTTTGTGTGCACATGTGAAGTCCAGCGTCATGTTGAAAGGATTTTCTCGCGACCGTTGGAGGCTGCATCTCGTGCACCGCGTGGTCAACGTGACGATTGCGTTTGTGAAACTCCACTCGCACGACAGCGACGACGTATGCAGAGATCACAGTCGTGCCCCCCCCCCCCCTCGTTCAAATGAGCGATGAGCACGGTGCTTATCTCATTCTGCCACATGGTCCTGAACCGGTGGAATTAATTATTCCACTTGAGGCAAGTTCTGTTAGCGAGCACCTATGAAGGCCGGCCTGGTATACGAGGGGGTGGGTGGCTGAGCACCACGTCCGGCCGTCTTTGTCTCCCTAGTGGGCGATGTTTACACACCGCACCAGGTTACTTATTTTAGGCTGAGTCGCCCTAGGGCAGGCCCAGGACCGGTTCAGATAATCGTCACTGGTGTTAGCCGTGAGTGGGAATCGAACTCGGGTCGCCGCGTTGGTAACCGCTACACGCACACAAAGTCTTTAGTTTGGTCTTTAATGTGGTATGATTAGCACACCATTCCTATGACATGTATAGAATATGGGCCCTGACATCTGTGGTGAAATGAATTCTGTAGTTAGTGTATCCGCCGTGCACCTTCCTATTGTCCACTGTTTCACTTGACCTTAACTTGACCTTAACTTGACTTTCACTTGACTTTCACGGAAGAAATGTTGAAAATAGCAAAGTCACCCATGCGTACCAGATTGGGACATTTGCCCACTTATTTTGTTTTAATATTTACAGCCCCCCCCCCAACACGGATAAAGCCCTCGTGAGAGTAATGTCAGAATCTGTCATGCGGGACTGCCTTGTTATTCGTTTCGGGCGCATTAACACCAATCCCAGGATTCCTCATCATGCTTCATCCCGACCCTTGGCATTTCAAACGTGTACGTCGCCAAGATCATTTTACTTTTCAGCTGCTAACGTTGTCATTTAAATGTAATTCATATGCTAATTGAGTGCACGCACTGTGTGACCGTGATATCACACATATATATGTTTTAATGTTTCCTCTCCATGAGTTAACTTTTTTTAATAGAGAAAAAACGTTAAGTCTATATATCTCGAAACGAATTCGTGCCAATGATTTGCTAGGAATGACGACGAGGAGTAATGAGTTGCCTTCGGGTGCCTTAGAGCACTGACCCATGGAACCAAGCATCCCCTCAGACCCATATATACAGACCCATATATACAGACCCATATATACAGACCCATATATACAGACCCATATATACAGACCCATATATACAATGTGTATATACACACAACCATTGGTTGCAGTAACTCCCTGTGGGAGATTTTGTTTATTATTAAGTTGTAGTCTAGAATGAAAAAAAAATGGGCGTTATAAAAATAGATACTTAAAACGTAAATAATATGTTCAATGTAAAATATGTTTCGTAGTTTGTTGTCTCTGTGTGAGCAAATGTACTACACTGTACCGCTAATCCGCACACCACTCTTACATAACATCTCAGAATATGCAATGGTTGGAGAAATCACAATTACTCATTTTGATTGCAATGAACTCAAACGTTGCATTCTCACAACCAACAAATTTTTCCTTACGGAATTGGTAACAGACAATTATACTCAACATCTACACTCCAAGCCAATTGTGAATTCTTTATCACTTGCTAATGGCCAGTTACCACTCCTCAACTCGGAGTGTCGTGACCTCAGTGAATACGGATGATTGGACATCTGACGTCTGTCTGTGTTCGCAAAGCAACCTTTGCCATCAATTGCATGGAATCGTAACTCGTCCCCAACACTCCATTGCAGCTCACGAGTCGGTAGAGGACAACACAGGCGGCACCACGCTGCCCAGCAGCTTAGAAGCTGCGTTGCCCTACGGACCATGAGCGGCTCTGCTCCGTTTCTGGATTTAACGAGCGGTACGCTTGAGCGAGACGGTAAAGCGAACGGCGGTTGTGTGTGCACGTTCACAATGTCACAGTCCCGACTCTCTCATTTTTAGTGCGGTGTTCATTTCCCCAGCGTTACGGAGATGCCTATATATACACAGAGATGTCATATATATAACGTCGTGTAGCGAGGTGGCTGAGAGGGCTTATAAGGATTGTGTCGGAGTATTGGGTTTGCATCTGGGTTTCAACCACCTGTGATCTCATCAGGTTCTCAAGCGTAGTAAATGTAACGTTCACAGCCCGGTAACCGATACTGTCAGAAAAAAAACCATGAATTTCGTTTGTAATTTTGACAAAATTTGTTAATACGTCGCATGACTTCTTCGTTGCTGTAGAGCAACAACTGAGCTTCTGCAATGAGGGTGGTTGAGTCAGGTGATTGCGTCCGGGGTAGCGGAGTTGTATCACTCTCACTATGCCCCCTCCTTCCTCCGACATCGAGTCGTCGTCGTGGTATGTTCCGTGTTCTGTTCTGGGGGAGCACCGTCACACACCGGATAGTTTATCCGGGTGGATGACTTGTGGAGAATCATTATTTGCAGAGAGCACTGCCTAGCGTGAGAGTCGGGCAAGGGAGATCAGTGCAAGAGGCTTCAGTCACGAGTTAGAGGCATATAGTAGCACGCTCCTAAACAATTATACTCTGCTCCTGCTGTTATTAAATGAACACCCTCGCCTGTTCATTTTGTACCAGTCCGTATAGAGTGTAGTCTCTAGGCTGAGACAATTAGCATTGTGGCATTGTGAATCGCATCCGACGCAACACCAAAGCTGAGCTTACCCAGGACTCGCAGTCCAAGGGTGTTCCTTCACGGCTTAATGGGTGGGGCATTACAAAGCGCGCTCACGATGTAAGTGGTATTTCGTTAGTTTTGATTTAGTTTGTTTTTGTTGTCAAAACCATATATTAATAGTGCGTAAGAGTTTCTACTTCTAAAATCGTTGTTTTAATGTACGTTGAGATTTTACGTGGTAAGAGTGAATTTCTTTATTTTTTAAGGATTGTTTTACGGGATTTGTGTATTTGATCATCTTCCTTGTCATTGCCCCTCGGAGCCCAAGGGTTATTTTTAATCTTCCTGTAAAAGGGCATGAGAATTGCGAAAAAGCTTTGTATCAAAGCATAAAAACAACACAAATGCAGTGGAATGCCCCACGTCGCGTAGAAAGAGAGCGCCCACTCTCTCTCTACACGACGTAGACGCAGAGAGAGAGAGCGCCCACTCTCTCTCTACACGACGTAGACGTAGAGAGAGAGCGCCCACTCTCTCTCTCTACACGACGTAGACGTAGAGAGAGAGCGCCCACTCTCTCTCTCTACACGACGTAGACGTAGAGAGAGAGAGCGCCCACTCTCTCTCTCTACACGACGTAGACGTAGAGAGAGAGAGCGCCCACTCTCTCTCTACACGACGTAGACGTAGAGAGAGAGCGCCCACTCTCTCTCTACACGACGTAGACGTAGAGAGAGAGCGCCCACTCTCTCTCTACACGACGTAGACGTAGAGAGAGAGAGCGCCCACTCTCTCTCTACACGACGTGGGTCATTCCACTGCATTTGTGTAGAGAGAGCGCCCACTCTCTCTCTCTACGTTGCGTAGAGACAACGTCCACTCTCTCTCTACGTCGCGGCGTGCAGGAACGTTCTCCGCTGGTTGCATTGAGAGGGGTGAAGGCTTTTTTCCAAGACGTTGCGGAGTCGTGCTGTAGTTATCTCTCTTCGTAGATCGATTGCATTGGCACAATCGGTGGGAGAGGAAAATAAGTCGACAAGTTACAAACAAATGGTGTGTGAATGTGAGCGAGAAGCAGGGTTGGTTATTAATGAGAGGGAACTTACCGGTAGGAATTTGTGTCGTATTGGTAGACTATATTGATTTGCATTGATAGGGTAATGTACGCCCTTTGAAATGCACGTGTCGTGTCTTTTGTGTGCAATCGCCGTGTGCTATGATGGTCTTTAAAACCCATGCCATGTTTGTCCTCCCACAGTACAGAAGTAGGTGAAAGCCTTTGACTTACTGCAGAAAGTAAATACCAGGTGCACTTAATCATTCCGCTCGTGGATTTACTTATCCACATTCATGTTTCTCAGCACCGTTCGTTTAAACAAGATGACCTTTGCAGATTTTGACTTTAATCATCCTCATCAGCAGGGCGGCGACTTTACAAACTAAAACTATTGACAAACATTTTGGCCCCCAAATATTAAGTTGCAGCAGTGCGTAGCAAGTGACTTAAGTGTTTTAACACTTTGCCAAAGACAGGACTCACACAGTGCTTTGCGATGTCTGTAGGAATATTGATTGAGGCGTGTCACCTTGTTTCACCATGAGATGTTGCCTATTTCCCAACAAGGTGGAAAACATTGTCACCTGCACTCATTTCGATTGGCATGAGCACAGCTCCAAGAGAACATAGACTGTGAAACGTGCCATCTCCGCTTCGTGGTGTGCACCACAGCTGACATAAAAGTCACGTCAACCGCCTCTGCGTCCCACTGAGCATACACGACACTGCCTCGCCTATGCGCGCCTATGCCTTATTTTGTGGTGCATTTGTTGCAACTGGAGTTGCCAGTAACTGGCTTCCCAAAGTCCATTTGACGCCGATTGTACGGTGTACTTTTTGGTTGGTAAAATTATTGTTATGGCATTATCACCGCAGTCCCAGGATTTTATTTTCAACGGTGCATTACGTTCAAGAAATTTCCAAAGCAGGGCGTAGCGGCTGAGAGAACTCATGCTGAGACGCTGGGTTCACATCCCATCCACATGTACAATAGAGTATTAAATCATTAGCTTTGAAGTGTATCGAATGCATGTGTGTATGTTTAACTTTTTTTCGCACCGCACGTAGCCAACCCCGCTAATTGGAGGTGTGGGGGAAGGACAACAAACAGACAAATGAATTGTGATGGCCTCAGCAGAGGTATTTGAATGCTGCGAAAAATGGGCTTCACTTAAATCGTGAAAGTGTTGTGTACTTTGGGGTGAGTGTTTTGTCTCCGCTGCGCTTGGCCACCACCAGCGAAGAGCCATTTCTCCACGGTTATTCGACAAGAGAGGCTCTTTGGCGTCAACTATGACAGTGAACAAAATACTCGCTACCCATGAAGTGTCAGTCCCGTCTTCTGGCGGTTGTAGTAATTAATGGTTATTATGTGTCATTCTTTGGTGTATCTTCTCATGGCTATCTTCAAAGTGACGGGAGACTTTTATTTAAAGTTTCTAGAATGCGTCTTGTTTTATGCCTCCTGTTATGCTACTGTAATTTGACACTCTTAACCCAAAGAGTAATGTAGAATGCTTGCAAAACACTTACGTTGAAGAGTATTGCTAACATTAGCGCTGTGGCTGCCTTGT